AACGGGCTTGTGGTTTAGTGGTATAATGTTCCCTTAGCATGGGAGAGGTCCGGCGTTCGATTCGCCGCTAGTCCAATTTCAATGTTAGATCATTCTAATTCTTTTTTGTCATTTTTGTGGTGTAAGATCGAAGATATTTTGAGTTTTGGCATTGGGGAAGAAGGATGTTTCTTTTTTGAGGGGGTTGGGGAGATGTGGAATGGAGTGCTCACGGTCAGACGCTTCGGCATGCAAGATTTTCCGCTAGATAGAGAGTTGTACAAATGTATGGATGGTGGTAAGTAAGTAAGGGTAATAGAAGAGATAAGAATTTAATCTGGTTTCGGTTGCACGTGACTTTTGACATGGTTACAACAATGACACTAGGGATGGATGCACTTGTTCTCCTAGAAGAGATAGATTATTAGAATTAGATATGGGGACAGTTTATGAAATTGTACAGAATGATAACCAATCTTTCAAGGATTGAAAGGATTGAAACTCCTTTTTACTTACAGATAGATAACTTAAGGGGAAAAGATTAAGTTGCTGTTATGATAGATAATTCACCCAAACCCGATGTTCATCCATGTCCCACTATTTGGGTGCCCCATTTTCTCACTCCACCCGAACATACATAGCAAAAAGAATTCTCCAAAACGCTATGTAAATATTATTATCCTCTTCCTGAGCAACACAAACTGTGCAAAAAATTGCAAAAAGTAAGTCTCTCAGGCGTGAGTCGAACACGCGACATCCAGATTTTAATATACAATTACAGTCTGACGTCATAAACCAACTAGACGACCGAGAGTTGTCCGAGTAGACTCGAATGGTCACATTTTGCTGTGTTTGTTGGGGTGGGTGATAATTTTAAAATATATAATATAAATAGCGTTGATATATGATGCGGGGAGCCTTGGAACTGTGGCTTCAAGGCGCAGGATCACGTTGCTTATCACAACCGAGGGCCCATCGCAACTTCTTCGGGCAATGGAGACTTTTACACTTGATGGCCCTCTTTTATGAAACAAGATAGACAAGAGAGACAAACTTTTTCGTTCTCATTTGTTCTCTCTGAGATCTGAAAGAAAATCGTCAATTGGGATCCTATTGCCTTCTATAGTTAGAGAACAGCTAAGTTAACCTTATTAGTTTCATAAGTTTGGAGTCACAACATTGTAGTCATAGTAAATCATGAGGTGTTGTCAAATCGTGTTATTATATTAAGTACCCAGAAAGCTGGTCTCAAGCTACAGGTGCAAGGCCATGAGAGGCCACACGATTACCAAATTCAGGGTGGTCATCATTGGGTATTGTAGTCAATACAAGTAAGTCATGAAGTAGTTGTTGAAATTAACGAAGCCGGAAGAGTACATTCAAATTAGTTCTAATTCTGTAAAGAATCGTCAAGGGGAGACTTCCCTTCCAAAGTCAACGGAATATGCTTCAAGGTCTAATCAAGAGTTTTTCTTCAAGGAAAACTACGTGCTGGAAAAATAGGTATATTTGTTAATATTCCAAAACTGACACCGATACAACTGCTAGCAGTCTATCGATAAATCCAAAGCTTAATCGAAAAGAGGCATAAGAAATAAGAACACAATCCAAAAGTCAAAGTTCCCAGAACAAAACTCTCATCTTCCCCCCCCCCCCCCCCCCCCCCAAAAAAAAACCCTAGGTAATAAACACTTCCCACCATTGACACTCTATCATCACCACCTCTCCCAAGCAACTCATTTAATGCTGAATATCAATCGCAAAGAAGTGTACCTCAGACTTGCTATTTCCTTGGTTATAGTTACCAGCCTTGAAGTAGCTCTTTGGGCTATCCAATTGATAAGTGTCCAATGTCTTTGCTGCACCTCCATTAATAGCCACACTCAACTTGCCTCCCTCGTAAGCAATCTCATAAGAGAACTTAGATCCAACAGCTACACTCCCAACTTGAGTAACAATCTCATTCCCACCATCTCTGGTCTGCTCAACACCCATGGAAATTACTCCCTTAGAGTTATAAAACAATTCGCAAACAGGCTTGGAAGATATACTATCATCGATATGAATTTGACCAATAACCGTTCCGTGTGCAGAATCATCAGCAGTAATTACTTGAAGAGTCGCACTGAGTTTATTGCTTGCAGAACTTGGACTCCAGGAACTAGGACTCGCTTCGCGAAGCTCGGTGCGGCAATGCTTGGAGTGAGCAGTGGTGACACAGCCGGTTGATACGCCGCCTGGTACTTTCATGACGATTGATCCGTCGGTGTTGGTGTAGAAATAATCTTTCGATGTGTATCCACTGCATCCGGCGAGCTTAGAACCGGCAACGGAATTAGGATGTCCTTGGGTACCACTGGGGAGTTGGAGTGTCCATTTTGAGAGATCAATGTTCCCGCCTGGAGCACAGGTGGGCTTCAAATTGCCGGAGGAGAGACCGGTGCCGAGAGCTGCAGAAGTAGAAGTCGCGGTTGAGGTACCGGTGGATTCAGTACTGGAGATGGTTGCGCTAGCAGGTGTTGCTTTGGTAGAAGACTTTTGAGCTGGTGCAGCGATGGCAAGGCCGAGGAAGGGGAGGAGAACGAGGAGTTGGGGAATTGTGAATTTGGAAGACATTTTGATGAGGAGTTTGGAGATGATTTTTGGTACAGAAGACAGTGGAAGAAATTGAGAAGTAAATACTGTATTTAACGAGAGTGTGAAGGAATTGGTGAAGGGGAAAGAGAGCGAGTAGTTATTGAATGATGATATGGAAGTTCTCCCTCAAAACTCATATATATAATCTCCAAAACATCAAATACACACATGAAGTTTTCTGCACCTCAATAACTTCATACTTTCACAACCCAACACCAAAACCTACCACAGAATCCACCACCCCCCAACTATAGAAACCTTCCTAGTCACCTTCACCACCCAAAACAAGGATCAAAAATAATCAGTACGAGAAGGAATCCGCTTAACACAACCACCCCGACAAAATCCATCTATTAACACGAACTCCAAAATCCCATAAGGATTTAAGGTTATACCTCACCCCAGCAAATCCGCTGACATCACAACCGCGATCGTCCAAATTTTTAGTCACCGTCATACGAAGGATCAAGGAACCGGGAATCATTTCGCGAAGATATGTAAGTGTGTTAGTAAGCGGGAGGGGGGTGTAAGCGCTTTGTTGGGGGTAGATATTGTGAGATTGTGATTAGATGCGAGGATGGGAGATTGGAGTGTGGATGTCATGCGAGGAATGGTTTTTTGGGATTTGATGGGGGGTGAGGTAAGAAGTTGAGTGATGTGGAGCGGATGGTCTAATTTTGGGAAGTGATGCGGGAGGAACCGTGGATGGGAGATGATTTATGTAGGTGTAGGTGCGCTTGGTGTGAAGGCTACGAGTTGCTACGAGTTGCTAAGGGAGTTCTTGATTAGGGAGGAGTTGAGTTGTGTTGAATCGTACTTGATTGATTGGGTAATCGGGGTAAGTTTTGTGTTGCTTCAGTGAGATTACCAGCGATGGGAGGGATGGAAGATGATCGATTAAACTTACTAATCATAATAGGTCTGCTAATTTATTGAATACGGAGTGTGTTTGAGATGTGAAGGTATGGTTATACATAGTTGCATATCCAAGTTTAATATTATGATTCCAGAAAGTTTTAGACAAATTCCATCGTTGTCAGTTAAGAAATTGAGAGCTGACATTGTTGTTGTGGAAATAGAAATGGAATAGCTCTATTTTTTGATAGAAAAACCAGATAGTCTACTTAATATATACGTGATGACATGGATTCATTCATGAATACATTGAATGGGAATGAGTAAGTCTCATAACTTTAAGTCTTTTACTATTGTCACAAGAATAAAGATCAAATTCTGTGATGTTTGTCTAGATCGGGGTAGGAAATGCCCATACCAACACGAACTTACTTAATTTCAACTTGCTGAGTTACCTGAGTTGAAATCTCGATATACTTGATTAACATCAGAAGCACCTATCATACTAGGACAACTTATATGCGGTTTACCTTTTATCTGCCTACAAATGCGGTTCTTTGATAAGGAGCTCAAGTGTCCAAGTTTTACTCCCTAGGCTCTTCGCACGTATTAGCCAATCTACAAGCGACATGAAAGCTCTCATTCAGCTCTGCGAGCGCGCTTATAGAACAGCCTACTCAGTGAGCATAAGATGGAGTTCAGCCGCGGCGTTTGAATTTTCCTCATATAGACTGCACACAAATTATCTGTACCCATGGATTATCTACGGATAATCCGCTCCACAGGTTATCTGTCAGAGGTTTTATTTATTTTGTAGATTATCTATCAAAACTTTAAAATTACCTATTTTGTATAAATAATTTGTAAATTATTTATAGATAATTTATTTATTTATAAATATATAGATTATTTGTAGAAAATTTGTAAATTATTTGTAAATAATTTATGGATATATAGATTCTTTGAAAAAGGTGGAAAATCTTTGCTTTTTTTGCTTAAAATATAAAGCTATTTCTAAATTATTTTCCAGTCTAAAAGTAATTCAAATTTATATTTATATTAATTTTTATATTAATTATAAAAGATTATGAATAATTACATAATATATAAATAAATAGATATTTATAAATAATTTATATTCATTTTATAAATTACTTATCTAAATTCTGAATTATTTGTTTTATAAATAGATTATTTGTGGATTATTTATTAAGGCTATTATCTGCTTTATGAGTACTCGTTGTACAGTCTATTCTTATATGGCCCATTGGGTAGCCTAGACAAAGATTATATGATCTCGCATATATATCGCGATACTGCGCCCCCTGCTGCCTAATTTTCCAATACATACGCGTTTCCCAACATTCATTTCCTAGATGGTATATTGTCATCGCAATTTTTCATAGATATATGAGTTTGATGAAATCCTTTATCTTTGGACTTTTCCTTGAACAAAGAACATCGATTGATTTACTCGACATAGTTTCGGGCATACCAACTTCATAACACTCCAATCAGACTTCATCAATATGGGGTAAGTCATAATATCACATTCCCTTATGACTGCGCTCTCTCTATCCACTCTGCCCCAAATGTATCACTAATACATTGCACGGCTCAGTTACACACACTATTGGGAAGTCAAAGACCAAACCACATGGTCCGAAATCTGGCCTCAACTAATTTCCGACGCCAATCACATCATCAAAACACTCGAAAAAAGTGCTCCTCTCCTCGACGAGAGAGATAACTATCATCTCCCCACTATCGAACGCGGAATTTTCATAAACGGACAAGACGAGCATGAAGATTTTATCCTGACCCAATATAAAAGCTCTGGTATTAACTTTTGTAAAACCGCAAGGAAGGAATATGATGCTGTTGTCGCAACTATTCTCATGCGTGCGAAATTGTTGGCTGGGGATGGGTTCAGTCTTTCGTATGTATAGCTTTCAATGAAAGCTGTGCGGTAAACAGTGCTAATATTTAGATAGATCTGACGGTGATTGGGACGACGAGTGGCAACACACTTTGAAAGTTTATGTCAAATTATGGCCAGATGAGAAGCCTACTGGAAATATCTTTGACTCCGAAGAGCAGTATTGATGAGGAATCCACGAAGAGAAAACTGAATGATCTTAATGGACTTTCTATTGTATGGTGAGATTTCAATAGATGAAAGAATAATTCTAATCTTACCAAGAAATAATCTTCAGGTTAACCTTGATTGATACCGTCCCGCAAGTTGAATAAAAGTCCAGAGTATGCTAGATAAGCGAAGTCCACGGTAGCAAATATATGTAGTGGTATTGCGTTTCATTAGAAATTTGACGTGAATGATATTTAGCTGTATGGCGAGGAACAGATCGTATCTCACCAGTCAGCTCAAACCCTAGGTGGAAATGAAATTTTTGGCAAGCCGCCTAGAGCCGAAAATTAATATCCACCGATAAAGGCAAGAATTAGCAAAATGTTAATCAAATTGACACATCTGTTTCTAGCGCTCAAATTTGAGATTAGAAATTTCCCACGTCGGTTGAGCACAGATCATGTTACACTGATTCAAATTGACCTCGCCAAAACACTATCGACTCTGTTCCATGAAAACGATTCCCAAAAGAATTGCATAAACTTTATAGATTGTACTATTCAGCCGCCAATGGAAAGGAAGTCCCAATGTTATTATTGGACAGCCGCAACGGAATCCATCGCCATACGTATTTGATCTTCGAGGTGACTCTGGTCAGTGGTTTTCTGTCATATTATCGCAACTAGTAGACTTACCTCGCATTCCTTTCAAGGCTTCATTTGCCGTTGAATAATTCTCCAAGGCATCCAGAATCATTCTGACGCCTTCATGCAATTGAAATAACAATTTATCCGTTCTCTTCCTAAGTCCATCTTCAAAAGAAGTAGCCTGCTTAATTGCAAGAGTCTTGTGGCAAAGCATAATCATTGAGTAACTTGCTTGCATACTGCAGCAGGCAAATATTGGCATCATGCGGGGTGGACTTGTTTGCCTAGTGCTGTTCCAATAAGAAGCGTTCCTTGGATCTGAAGGCCGTGGCAATGGCAAAGCACGGAAAGATTGGGCGATGTTGAATGCGGATTGCATGCATACCTTTGACGAAAATCGACCACTGAATGGCAGGATCGGAGAATCGAAAACAGAAATATCATCAGGTATTGGGGAGTTTAAAATACCGGGGCTGAGCTTCAAAGTGGCTGTGGCCTGCTGTAGGTTATTGCTACAACCGCAGGCGGTACCTGGATTTTGCCCAACAGAGGGGGTGGAAGACAAATCACAATGTTTCTTCGTGAAGACTGGCATATCGGAGAATGCACAATATCGATGAATCTTAATCCTCGCGCTTCGAGGATAATTAGCTATTACCGAACCGAAAAGAAACAACCCAAGAACGTACCTATTCAGCTTGATACGTGTCATCATTCGCAGGCTTTTTGCGACGACACTCTCTGAAGGTTCCATATCATCCACGTTTTCATAGGACCACCTTTCTGCGTTTTCAACCAGCGGCTCAATGGTCCTTTCCAATCCTGTCATTGTCTCCCAGAGCTTGAGATCATGAGATTCTGATTTCAAGGATGATTCGAGATCAATCACGAATTGTGTCGCTGTGGCAATCACTCTTTGTGCTTCAAGAAAAACATACCAAGCCTGGATTCTATGCACTTAGGTCACTGTTTTTCTAGAACTTAAACTGAAATTTTGCACTCACATCCGAATCAGACTCAAAGGTTGGGAGTGGCGTCGTGAACCTTGGATCGGAGAGGAGAATAGAGGGCGCCTACATAGCTTTGGTCAAACTTGAAGGAACAAGCGCTTCGAGAGTAATACATACCATGCAACTAAGTATAGAGCCTTGGCAAATGCAGACGTACTTTCCAGAAGTTAGCGTCAGAGCTGAAGGTAAATGTAAACCGCCGCTTCTAATCATACCGTCATCCACCATACTCGTCTATCTGATTCGGCATATGCATAATCCACTTTATCCTTTGAATGTAATCCCAAGTCCATGGCAGATACCAAAGCTTGTCCACACCTCTTGCGCATCTTCGAAATATTTCCTCGTTGGGAATATTCATAAGTGCAAAGCAGCAGCAATGCGATTGTACTCTCCGCCTCCAATCTTACATGCGGGTGGACTTGTGTGCGATATATCTGCATCTCTTGGGCGCTCAGAGCCTCCCCAGGGTCCACTATAGACTCTATCATCTCATTCTCAATCTCAATGCCATCGATCGCTAACTGAGCGAAGATTTGCGCTTGATTCCGACGTAGTAGAATAGATTTTGGAGATGTGGGCCTTGGATCATCAGGATGTGGAATTAGTGCAAGAAGTGCGGAGATCGCAAGGGTCATCGGGGAAGCAGATTGAAATTGTGGATTGCTCCCGCTATGAAATAAGATATCATTTGGTCCCTGTACTCCGGTTTCCAATTTATCAACAGCTTGGTTGATCAAGGGGGGTGGAAGAACAGGAAAATACGGATGGATGTAAACATAATATGCGCTCAAACTGCCGCATCAAAATTTGGTCAGTCGTGTTACTCGATGTTTATACCTACTGACAGAACTTACATGTCCTCGTCGTTAGCATAAGTTCTTACTACAGGTATCTCTGTCTCCCTTTGAAAGGGATCTTCTAGCACATTTTGTGGTAAGAATTCATCGTTCAATGTTAAAGGTTCTTGATTCCCTTGTATGTTTGGGTCAAATGCGAAGTCCATATCAAAGTCCAATTGTTCATCGCTTTGGAGAAGACCAGCGCCAGGGGTGGCCAATGAAACCACCGGGGCTGGACCAGTAACTAAGGACAGGTCAGAATAGTGTTTGGCAAATGTTTGGTTACTTACGGAGCTCATTTGGTGGCGATTGTTCTATACGACCTTCGCTGTTGGTGTTCTTCTTGCGTCTTCTTGCACCACCTCTCTTGCTCGGTGTATAGACGCAATCACAACCTCGATTGGCACACTGATGACATTAATTACTGTATTTTCAAAATCCTAAAGTATCACTTACATTTGCACATGGTGTTTTACCATTGCATCGAGTGCGTGCAGCACGACTGGCATTACGTTAGTAAACGTCTTCTAAAGATACTGGTGGAAGATAACGTTACCATTCTAGGCATGCCACTTTTACAGGAGGTGCCAAAAATTTCCTGGTGGCGGGTTTCCTGTGCTGTGGGTTTGTGGTGGTGGGTATCATATTACATGTTGGTTTCCGCAAATGCTCACTCAAACTGCAGGGTTCTCCGAGTACAGAAAAGAGCCTGAATACTGAATGAAGTGGATGGTGTAGAAGTTTCGGCGTGGTGGTGGCCTTGCGGTAGTCCCGTCCGTATAAATGGTTCAGATTGAGAAGAAAATCTTCAAACTTTGGATGAATAGGTGCAGTTTGTCGACGATGACAGTGATGAAGGGGGTTTCATATCATAAAAATTGTGTCATACGATACAAATCATGGCGGATCCGTGCACGTGTGCTTACTCATCAACGAAAATATGAGATCTTGACTTAAGTGAACCTTGCCTGGGTAATCTTACTCAAAACTTTATTTCGAACCAAACTACCACCCACTTCAAAGATATAGATGTAGATTACTACATTACATCCATTGCAGTATCCTTATCATCCATGGCAACGACAACATCTTCAACATCTCCAGAATAGGGCGACCCCAAGCACGAAAAGGCCAGTGTTACTTGATAACTCGCTATCTATATGCTTCGTATACCGCCATGCTCATTGTGTTAACGTTACATTATTCACCGACAGATACCTTCAACGATTGATCCACAATTCCGGAGTTTATGACCTGAATGGAATCTCGACTGCGTATCAATGGTGTGAACTTCCCGGCCCCTCAGTTTACCCTGCGGCTACTGGGCATGATACCCCCATCTATGTATCTTATTAATGATAAGGTATCCAACATATATATATATATCTGCAAATGTATTTCCAATGAGAGGATTCACTGTTCATGATTGTCTTCAAAATGAGTCTTTCAAAAGTTACTACATGGTTTTTCCTCGCCCGTTCGACTGCTCAGGCTCGATCTTATGTTAGTACTTTGCCAGAAAATGCCCAAGGACTCTTCAATGAGTCCATGGACTATCTGGATCGGGCATACGACGAAAATGCTGGCTATCTTTATGAAATGAGTGGAGCTTCTGCGTTGAGACACGAGACCAGAAGTTCAGCATGATACGCCATTGGACTTTTGGCAAGGAACCAAGGCTCGGATGTATCCGAAGCCGAGAAGATAATCTCCAATGTCATTGGTGGTCAATTCAAGGACCCTCAAGCGCAGTGGTGAGTTTAGTTGTATCCGGTGGTATGAGGTATCGACTGAAAACTCTAGGTATGGGGACTATCAGAAGGAGCCTGAGGAACCAGAAGTGGGAAGCTCGTATTATGCACCGAGTATATACAATTCATGGGATCCAAACTGGCGTGGTTTCATAGGAACAGCCTTTATTGTTGGTCTTGAGGAGTTTGGTTCCCTAATCTCGCCAAATGTGACTAGTCTGATGCTGGAATCATTGTATAATTCGACCGTGGGTGACAGTTATCGTGTCGGTGGAGTAGATGGCGATAATTTGTATCCTGCCTATACCAATCCTGTGAGTGCATCACCCACCCCATGATGCATAATCTTTATTAATCAGCTACTAGTCAATAATGAGAGCTTTTGTTTCCGGATGGACCGGTCGTCGGTTGAACGACAGTAATATGACAATCGCCGGCGAGAATTATGCACAACAAATCGTTGACTTATTTGATCGAGCCAACACACTTTCGGAATTCAACAGTGGAACTTATACTGGCGTCTCTTTGTTCGCCATGAGTTTGTGGGCTAAGTATTTGCCAGAAGATTCTGTGATGAAACAAAGAGGTGCCTCGATGATCGAGTATACTTGGGAAGCAGTATCTAATCTGTGGCATCCTCAACTTTTGAATGTTGCTGGTCCTTGGGATCGTTCATACGGTTTTGATATGACAAAATATCTGAGTCTTCTGGCACTCCACATCTGGAACGCTGTAGGGAAGTCAAAGTCTTCAATCATCGACAAGCCTTATATTATGTCACACAATGCCGATTTTGCTTACGGTCCATTATTCGCAATATTGTCCGACTTCCACAATAGATTGATACCAGCAAATGTGACAGATGCCCTTGTAAATTTCAAAGGAGAGCACACATATATTTCTTCAACCTATTCGCCGCCGTTCGACTACTGTCCTCGCAATATTACAGCTTGGCTTGCAAACAACATCAGTATTGGCGCTGAAACATTCAACGAAAATGTTATAGGTGGACCTGCTAAGAATCAAGGCACCTTCAACCCTGCTCTTATGCAATGGAATACTGGCAATGGAATTGGCTGGCTCACGCTCTATGCAACAGAAATGCATGTGATTGCCGAGGCCGGTAGTGGTTCTTTAAATTTGACGTATCCGAAAGGAAATGATACCTCAATTTTTACCTTTTTGGTATCGCCATTTGCCGCAAAGAGGACTATCTCAACCATTGAAGATATACAAGGGTTGCGTTTGAACGTGTCTGGTACAATTGACATGAATTATACCTTGTCTTACGCAGGAGAGTATGGCGGCACAGATGCCACTATTAATGATTTTGAGTATTGGAATGTAACCTTCTCAATGCCAACCGGCTCGACTGAAGTACCTCACATTCTTCTAGAGGTTGATCTTTGGTAAGAAGCGCATTAGAGGTGTGTATATATGTATATAGTCAGACTCAATAGTTCATGATGCGTTATCTAATACTCCTGGAGAAACTTGCTCATTATTGAGAATCATAGCACGCGACCAATGGGCTTAGGTAAATTTGGTGCTGGAGAATATAAGCGAGAGAAATATGATGAAGAGAGAATCGCATGCAATATTATCATCTATTATTATCGGTTCATTGTTATTATTGCTAATTTTGATTCTATAGGATATACCAATCCGGTGTCTATGACGACTTTCCAATCTCCATCAGTCGAAAAGAGTTACAAGGTTCATTGAATTACCCCATGATCAATAATGACCCTGCCAATCCACAGATGCAATGTCTGATGATCCTGATTAAGAAATCTAAGCTGTTAACGTTTGAAAACATCTTAATGATGTGAATGAATCAATTATTCCGATCCAGTTGAACGTTCTAACGGATTGAGGAATTGAGAGTTGAATGTCAGAATGCACTGCCTCCGGACCATCAACTTATTCTGACCACCTGGCACTCGAGGTCATCATTGCAAAAGTGGCTGTGTTCCAAAAGTCGGGCTATCACCATGCATTTTATTTCCAATTACTGAATAACTTGTCAGCTTTAGCACATTTCGTGGCTCATCCTCGTACTTAGCCGTGGTTGAAACTATTGCGCCAAGATTGCGCGAGTGCTTGTGGCGCTTACTTACAGTGAGTCTCTGATAGCGTATTATGCAACTATCGTTGCGTGCCCAGCTCTGGTATACATTGACAGAGATGTTTTCTGTAAATGGAGCACAATATCCTTTTAATAATAACAAAACAATCAAAGAGAAAGACTATTATTGCATCGTTTCAACCTCATGGAAGCTATCGGTGGCATCGCTAGTGTCACAGGGGTGGTGGGATCCATCGGACAAATCGCAGGCGGCTGTAAAGTCGCCAAAGAAATCATCGGTGACATTGGGAACGCACCTAACGACATCATAAGGCTTGCGGAGTGTATTAAAAGCATCGAAAAGAGCTCGAATGAAGTTCTACGCCAACATGAACAACTAAAGACCCATTATGGAATGCAAGATATACCTGTGGCTGGAGCACATATGCTTGAAGCCATTCGATCTGTTGAAAACAAGCTCTCTTCATCCGCGGAAATATTTGGCAACTCAGAGACAGGCTCGAAGAATAAGTGGAAACAATTCTGGCATCGACTGAAATATGCTGCAGATAAAGAAGAGATTAAAAAATTGATGCAGTGGGTGGATAGCACCACACAACAAGTTACGCTAGTTCAGCAAAATTTGTCAAGGTATGGCAAGACTTTCTCAATAACTATATTTACTGACTTCCTCAGGATTTTTCAACTCGAACAAAGTGACTTATTGAAGGAAATGAGTAGCAAAATTATAGCAGTTCCGCATGTCATTCAAGATTCCAGAGATGCAATCATATCTGCGCAACAAAACCAAACCGAGACACTTCGCTTGGAGATGCAAAAGAATCAAAGTCGCTTAGTACAGATCATGTCAACGACTATAGCTACCAAAGCGTCAGAGGATGTTCGTGAGGATCTGTTAGCGAGCTCAAAGGGAGCCATGGAGAATTGCATCGAAGCACAACGTTTAGATATTGGGCCCCAAGTCCAATTTCTTGTTGGCAAGTGTTTGCAACGCAATTTGCCAATACATTCAGCCAAACTTGCAGAAAAACGAGGTAATAATGTGGCTGTGTCTCTTTCGAGTTCAAACCATGTCACGCCGATATCTAACCATGCTTTATCAACACCCGATAAGATGCAGCGGAGGAAGAAAAGAAAGAGCCTCGTTTCTTCAACATTCTACAATTACAGGTTTCTCGGGATTAATGTCTCCATGGCAGTCTCATCGTATGCCAATGGTCAATATCAATTCTCAAGGTCATCTTCAGACTCACGCGATCTATCTTCAACTTCAGTATCTATTTTCCTCACGATACCGTGGGCCAGAAGGGGTCTCGATTTACGATATGAGATGACTAGCGTACCTTATTCTCGCGAAAGCTTTGTTTGTCTTAGACCATATTACACGCATCCAGATGGTAGCGAATTTCATACAGCAGCCATAGAATATGACGTCGAGACAGCGCGCAGCTTAATAAACCAAGGAAGGGCTTCCCCACTGGATAAAATTGAGAACTTTGATGATCTACTACAATTTGAGGATTGGGGGCCAGATGCTGAAAGCAGCGATCTACATTTTGAATGGATGGAATTTGTTCTTGGGTACCAAGTCAATAGATATATCGATATTGACGAGCTTCTTTTTTTCTTGTGTGCATACATTTTGGAGGTACCAGAGTCAATGGGTGTGGTTATGCATCTATGTTTGGAATCTTCGCAAGAGTAACATCTCCAGAACCTGGACACGGCGTTTTCGCTGTTGCTTGTGGATCATCCGTCGCCAGAACAAAGTCAGCGAATAATGCGTCTCAGGAATTATGAACCGTTAATTGACTGGGATTGTCACGAGTTACCAAGCAATCCCGGTTTCTATCTCGAAAATAGTCGTCAACTTTTTGAAAATCCTCGAGGAGATGAAATGGAGGCTGCTTTAGATAGAGGGTGTCACTACCGCTTGGTATCTGACAATGAAGTGCACGACGTAATAATTCACTACTCTCATGAGGATACTCGACATTTTTCACCTGAGGTATCGATTCTGAAGTTTATCAGTTCTTACACTGAACCCAGAAGCAGAGAAGAGGTCATTCACTGCTGCAGTAACCGGCTCAAAATGTTGTTAAAAAAAGGTCATAACTTAAATGGAAAGGGTGTATTTGGAGTGATACAGTTCTCTCCCGAGGATCGGCTTGCAATTTATCACTCTACAGTCAACTACGCAACTAGTACTGGAGTTTGGAAGGATCTCAAAGAGATGCTTGTTCAGATAGGGTGGAACGAAAGAGAGATTCAAGAGTTGTATGATGAAGAGATCTTGATAGGAGTCTCCACTTTAATGGAAGTTTTGCAATACCACACCATAAAAAACGCACGGGAAGAATTCCTGCAGCGGCTGCTTGATGTTGATGATTACTCATGCTTTTATTCCGAAGAACTCCCAATAGAACTAGCTACGTTGCCATGGTTTATTTCTGACGCTATTACCCATGCCTGTCTTCAATGGCCAGAAAAAATCGACATACCGGGGTCGTGGCCAGAAGAACAGGTTGTCATGGAATCGATATCCGAGAAAGATCTTATTATGCCATGGTGCTTGAATTTCTATTCTCTCACAGTAACGCATTCGCGTTATTATACATGTATTCACTATGGCTAATACTACACGAAATGCCATGTTCCTCGAAAGGAATGGGATCCGTATTATAGTAATATGTAGCTCGTCGATATTATAGAGGATATGGAAAGCGACGAAGAAAGAGGCTAGAGCTAGGTGAGAGTAATAAAAGCATTCGCTTTCAAGGTTTAGCTTAAAATGGCCCCAAGTACCGAGGCCGATTTGAACGATTTAAACAAAACCCTAAAAAATAGATTTTTGTTTAATGTAAAAAGAAAATCTATGATTTATATATAAAAACTCTTAAGAAATAATTTATATTATATAGAAATTTAAATTTTTAAAGATTTACTACATAAAAGATTATATTATTAATGAGTCGTAAGAAATTTTCAGCTTTATTTATATTTTTTTAAATTTCATTTTAAAATTTTCTTTAAGAAGTATATCAATATTAAAAGTTTTTTATTTATAGTTTTTCAAATAGTTTTCCTTATTGTATATAAATCATTATAAGATAAGTAAAATAAGGATTTCTCATTATATATATTTTTTATGAGAAAAATTATTCTCGATTATTTCTTATTATATATAGATTAATGTTACGGGAGCTGCCTCTAGGGTCACGTGGAAGTGTCTAGAGATCTCTCGAGGTGGTTTAGACTAGACTTCAAGTAGGAATTCAATAAGGTTGTAACTGGTTGCAATTCTCGTAACTATAGTAATGAAACTAATGATTGTTCTTGAGCACGAAGCTCTACATTATAATGAAACTCATTCCCTTATATAGATCTTCGTACCTCATGAATCGACAAGTCGATTACCGTAAAGCCGATTTCGACAAGTCGGTTTCCTGATCACGTGATGTCCATCCCGTGATCTATAATGATGCTACCGCTTATCTAACCTGTGCTCTCTAGCCGATTGTCCCTACAGCGCTGTTTCCGTAGGTCCCAACACCAAGGCCTTAGGTTTATCTTATAATCCATGTTGCGGTGCGGGTACCTCCGTAACAGTTAACATAATTTGTTTTTATTATCTCAAAAATAATTTTTTTTATTCAATAAAATAATATCCTAATTAGTTTAATGATAGAAATTAGTTTTAATATAAGATCTCATCATTTTCTAAAATCTTTAATTTGAATATAAATTTTAATTTTTAAGATAATAAAAATAAATTATATTAGTAAATTTCGTAAATTCTAATGAATAATTTCACCTCTTTACTTTTCATTTTATTAATTCTTTTAAAATTGTATACTGAATTAAATGTTTTTTCTTCTTATTTAGATACTATTAAATTCTAAACACATTTTTAATTCAGGCAAAAATCTATTTTTAGGGTTTTGTTCAAATCGTTCAATTCGGCATGTCAATCAATTCAAAGTAGCATCACTAGTAGCGACCGCCAATACCTTGAGTGTCATTCACAAACCATAGGTTGAAGGATAGTAGGAGTGTAACTCAGATTTTTGATTCTTTTCACAGGACTAATAAGATTTTTTGAAATCATTGGAAACCATACTCTCACGCGCTTTCTAATAGCATTGGCATCTAACCAATCTTACATCTGTACCTGTAGCAATACGAGTGAATATGCACACATGAGTGTACTAGCGCACTAGCGCACGAATGTAATGTATATAGCTCTCGTACACAATATCAATCAATGTATTGAACCTATTATAAAGACATTATAATCACCACTGTAGTGATCCTATATCCACTACTGCTCTTATGCAATCAGCAAACAAACTGTTACAGGGCCTGAGCTGTAGTTTATTAGATATGGACTGAACTCACGCCTGGTGAATCCACTTCCAAAAATAATTGCTATGCAAATTCCTACACATCCTGTGGCAGTGTAAGCATCACGTGATTGTGATTTGGTGAATGTGACAAGTTCAATCTCACTGCGTACCTACTTATTAGCGTAGGATTGCAATGATAGCTATTAATAAATAGGTGTTCTTTTCTCCTCGAACGATCCTTTTGCTCTTCTTGTTTTAAAAGACCTTAATAACTTTCGTTCCTTTACACAAGATATACCCAACCTCGTTAGTTTGGTTACTTTAGTATTTCATCAAGTCCATTTTCTTAAACTGCAACACTTCGCTATGCATCGGGCACTTTTCCTCCCCGAAATTGTTGCAACAATTCTGGAGACAGAAAGGTCAAGCCCTGGCTTTCTACATACTTGTCTCTTTGTCTCCAAAATCTTCTCAGAAGAAGCATGTAGAATTTTGTGGTACTCATGCGGAGCTTATTGCTTTGCTGAACAAGGGACGCCCAATATTAGACATCTCGCTCAAATCGCCATTCAAAATACTGAGAGAGCGCAATACTATGCCGACTTTATACACGTGCTTGAATTTTCAGAAGAAGAAAGTGAAGAAGAAAATGAAGGAGAGGAGAATTGGGTTGGTGATGAGGCGGATCACGATGAAGCAAGATGGCACAAGGAGCTCACTTCTTTGCAATTCCCTCAGTTGAAAGACTTCAGCCTTCACGAATCTAGTAACGCGACCGAACTGAATACGGGAGAGTTCATCAGCCATTACGCGCAACCGAACATAGAGAGCTTCACGGTGTACCAAGGAAGCCGCATTTCCGATGCTTTGTTTGACAAACTAACACAATCTTGCCCAAGACTGAAATCTCTTCATCTCAGTAAAATACGCGCAAGTAATCTATCCAAAGATGGACTCGTTCGATTTTTGAATAGGACGGATGCGCTTACTGCCCTCGTCATTCAAACTGGGGTCTACGATAGTTGGTCCTACGAGGCATTTGAAGCCATAGCCAAGCTTCCAAATCTGACATATATTGAGATTCCTGATATTCAGGACAATTGGGTCAAATCTGTCTATCAAGCCAATACTTCTACTCCTTTGTTCCCAAAATTGGACGTCCACTTAAGTGCCGGCATTTCTGAGCGTGATTTAGAATGTTTGGCTCACCATGTCCCAAAGTTGGAGGATCTATCTATCACCTTACAAAATATGCCCCCCTCACTTAGCATCCTCGCATCTGCATCAAATTTCTCACATCTCACAAATCTCAAAGTCGAATTTGGACCACGGAATCGCATCAGCGGCAGCGATCTTCTACTTCTCGCAAGGAACTGTCCTTTACTATCTTCTCTTTCGCTTGGAGTAGTTGACGATGACGCGTTTTCTCCACCGGGCCCTGCATCCCGCCCTTCCACTACCGGTATCACTGATGATGTTATTGACGAGGTCGCTCAAGCATTAGGAGACAGTATCATCTCTTTGAGGATCATTTTTGACCGCTCCGATTTGCTTACTTGGAGTTCCATTCTTTCTCTCGCTCAGTACTGTCAGAATCTAGGGGATTTGACAATTTCCTGCAACTTTGATTGGCAAGAAGCTATGAGTGGCACGTTCGAACACACTTTTCCCGCTCTTGAAAACCTGGATCTTGTTTTTGATAGTATTTTAAGAGAATCGCAGGTTGCGAATTACGACGAAGCAATGATCCAAAGTTGTGCTCAGAATATGTTTGAATTGGCGCCAAAATTATCGTTGATCTGGATTGATGGTGCAAATGAAGGTGACGATTGCTGGAAGTCGACTGTTCAAAAGATATACTACGATAATTTGAGTTTTCTCGAGGCCGAGGAGGATTAATTTCATGAAAGCCATAGGGAAAAGCTTTTTGCACCGTAAGTTCTTGTGAATCGCAGAGAGCCCCTGCGGAGCGTTCATGTCTACAGAGATAGTTGGCTAGCTATCTGAAAAGCTGGTAATCAATAGTATGTGGCTATATGGAGGAACTATTATGATTTGTCTGCGAATTGAGTACTGGGGTTTTTGTAATTTTCGATGCTGGGAATGTTAATCTAGTCAAGTCCGAAGAAGAAATCGCGACAACTTAAGCATCTGTGATAAGATCAGATGCCTAGATAGAATCGTTCAGAATGTAGCTAGCAATGTCAAATATAATGAGACGGCTGATTATTTTTCATCTCGTAAAATTTTCCACGGAAAGCTTCATGCCAGACAAGTAACAATGAGTGGTATAGATTCGTGAGAGGTTGATAAATCTGCGTTTTAGTATAGCTTTTGAATCCTACTAAGTAACCAGCTTATTCATTTTATCAAAGATCAATCGTCGTTCGGATTACTCATTATCTTTTGTACTTTGAAGATTCCGGCCGTTGAATTTCTTCTGAATAGGTGCCTTTGAGAACAGAGCTCCAATGGATCCCCTTAGTTTCGATTTATCAATAAATCTCTCCATACTCGCCTTTTCTAGATAATCGGCACCTCAGATTTACATCACAATACCGTGGAATAGACTGCCCCAAACTGGAAGACAGAAACTTGAGCCTTACTAGACTCGTCGCGCAAACCAATCAGAGTCTTTGAAATTCGAACAAAAATATGGTTCTATAGCCTCTTACGGGCGTCGAACACTTCTGGAATCAATTCAGAACAATACTTGTACTTCATACTTAGCAAGACAAGGATAATAATCGTGCAAATGAGCTCCTTTACGCATTGATGCTATCTGTAAAAACAATTTTCTAGTAAATCCAAACCTAATCCAACCAGTATGCAATTTCTTCTCTTCTTCCATTCCACACGAAACAACCCTCCAATGCCAAAATTCTTCCTAGGAAGACACAATAGAAACAAACTTGAATAAAACAATCCCCAAACATCATCCCCAACTTTAATAGACAGTCGAGCTGTCAAATATGAAGGATCAATTCGTCATCTAAGGAGTCTTTGCCTTCCAGGTATCAAGCGAAGTCTGGCAAACGGTGACAGCAGTCAAGTGACCTTTATCAACAGTTCCTCCGAGTTGAGTGCAAGCAGTATTAGCTGCCTTGCGGTTCTTGACGCATCTATATCACTAATTAGTCACCAAACTTATAACATCCCTCCTAGAATCCAGGAGAAGAGAACTTGAATATACATACGTCTGATAGCCATTGACACACTTCGTCTTAATCTGAGTTCTCTTCGTCTTATCCTTCGATTTCGAGAAATCGGTAAGCGAAGTCGAGGGACAAGCCGTCTGTCCCTTGTGGGCCTCAGCAGTGGCATCTGCCATCTTTTTCTTGAGATCGTTGTATTTCTTGATGGCGGCATCGTCTTTGGTCTTGTCGCCTGTCTTGACGGGTTTGGGCTCGTTGCATGTTTGGCCGTCGCGACCGAAGAGTTGGGTAGGGTCTGATTCGATTGTGGAAATCTCAGCAGGAGATGAGGTAGGAGCTGCGGAGACGATGGCGGGGAGGAAAAGGAGGAGCGCGGAGGCGACGAGTGGAGAGAGCTTCATGATGATAGTTGTTTAGGGAATGAATGATAAAATCAGTGATAGTATTGTGAATTGAGAGTGAAGAGTGAAGTGAAGAGAATGCTGTGTGTGTATGGAAGTTTTGATATAGCGAAGATAGTTGAGGATATTTATATTAGGAGGGCCATGGAAATTTCACAACTCAACACGTAAAAACTTCAGTCAATTGTGGGTAGGAAGTTCCTTCGCCGATGTGCCTCAAAGCCAAGAAAAAAGGACGTAGGTATGTCACTAAGCATCGAATTCGAGCGTTACATTGTTTCTCCAAAGAAATGAATCTGACTGATCCTTTGAGGAATACCCCGCACAGCCACCAAGCCGAGATCATTACTTGCGGCACTTATTGGGAGTTTCAGACTTTAGAATACGAGGTATCTGCAGGACTTCCTTGCTTTGTAGTAATGAATGGATACACAGAATTTCACATCGACTCTGAATACTAGAAAGGGAGAACTCAGGGAAAAGGATATCCAGAACTTCCCCCAATCCAAATCTGAACAAAATCTGATGGAACTGAATTAATGGAGTTCAAATATTGGTATAGAGACTCAAATTTAGAATAGAGAGAATAGCTTTAGCTCCAAGCGTAAACCGTTTTGTCGAATTAGAGACAGACTAGTCGATAATATTCCTATGGCAACTTGCGCAACGATTCTGTCTCCGAATGACAGCGGGTCTTTTCGGCTGAGTAGACGGCGAAATATGCGATGATCCCAATTCTATTTGAAGGCTGATTGAGTCATTAATGCGCTGTGCTGCTGGCAGTATCAAATGCAACATGTATATCATCGAATCCTTTCACAGGCATGTACGAATGAAGATCTCTAAGGTTACACTTGTGAGCTCCAATAAGCATCCGTATCCTGTCCCCTTGCAGAAGAGACTCCAAAGTTTCTGCCGAGTTCCGAAATCAGATTAAGATAATAATTCTTATGTGAGAATTTAAATGTCAGAGGGCTGAAAGCTCACCCATGATCATCATACCATCTGTTTTCCTTGGGTTCACAATTACTGGCTTACCGATGATGTAACGTTGATGTGAGAGGGCCCCATAAATACAATAAGCTTGTATAAATAGCCCTATAGCACAGTCAGCCCGAGCCTCAACCCCGAATAATAAGGATCTGAAGGAATTTCATAGAATGAAAGGAGGAATGAATGAAAAGCACAGTTTATTTTGAGGTTAAAGATTTGAAACGATCTGTCGGTCGGAGTTAGGACGCGAATGAGAGTCTCGTTTGTGTATTGAGAATGTGAGGGGCATTCAATACACGTACTTGTTTAATACTAAATAAGTAATAGAAAACATTCTAATTGAAAATTTCATAGAAATTCCTAAACCCTATAGTGGTAAAGTTAATATTCCAGACGAAGGGAAATTCAATATAAATTCACATATAAATTTTTATTATATACATTACAATATTAATAATTCTTTTATTATTAATGAAATGTTTATTTCATTAATAACAAATATAATTAGTTTAAAATGAGACTCTATTATTGAATTTTTATAAGAAAAAAAATAAGAGTTCTAAAAGGCCTTAGAGATTTTAATATTTATGAATATTAGAATTATAAAAAAGATAAATAAAAGAGTATATATATAAAGACTAGGAAAAGATTAAAAAAGAAAAAAGGAAAGTAAGTATAGAAACTATAAAGTAAATAGAAGATATTAATCAAAATTTTAAGGAAAGTCTACTTATCTTATTTTCGAATTGTTCTTTAAATAAAAGTTTTATTATTATATATATTATATAGAGTATATCATATATACAAAAATATGAAATAATTTTAATATATATATTTATATTTTATTAATTATTAATTGAATTTAATATAAACTTAATAAATAAACTTTTAAATTTAAAAGTCAAGGTTAGATTTCCAAATTCAAGAAATTTATTTTAAAACCTTCTTGATTAGAATAAGCTTTGTATGATACAAAGATTTATATCAATCATATTAATACTTTAAAAACACTCTTTTCAATACAGAATTAAGATATTGAAGACTTTATTACACTAACCAAGCGTTCACTTCGTCAACCACGAATTCTGCTACTACAGGAAAAACTCATTGTTCTATTCTTGGCTTGCCCAGGAGGATACTCGAAGTACTTCGGCCTCAATCGTAGGTTAGTGTGTGTTTAACCCTTTCAAACGTATTCCAATACAAATCTTCAGTTGCGTTTGTTGTTCAATTTTGATACCTTTAATAGTTGAACACAAGTGCCCAAAATTCAATATCTCGTGAGGAAAATAATCATATTGATATAGAGTATACCCGAAAGACTTATTCAGAGATTCCATGAATTAAAATCAGGCCATATGCTTGAATATTCTTAATGCACTAGTGAAGATCTTACGACATAGATCAGCCATTGAGATACATAGTCCTATGACATGTGTGAGTGATCAAATTATTACCCATCTCGAGCCTGCCTGGAACAACTCTTTCAGGTGTCCTTCAGACTCATCAAATGTAATGTCGAAATTCCTAGGTTGACATTATAGGAATCATAGTGAATGTCCTTATATTAGAAAGTCTATAGTCTATGTTAGCGAGGTCGCTAAGTTGGTAGCTTTTCTTGATTTGAGAATTTCTGTACATGAGTTTACCTCCGTAGACTGAACACACATGATGTCAAGAGCCTTTCAAGAGAGATTTTTGAGGAGGTGTGTTAAGTCAACTACCCCACTTTCCGACCACCCCCTCTTTTCGACCACCTCAAAAACCACACCGCTTTGAGTAATTATAAAATTTATACTTTGAATAACTCAACAATGCTTTAATCAATTGATTTGAAATTTTGATATTATTATAATTGTGATATGAAGAATAGATATACCGAAGAAGATATCGCAGAGGCTCTTAGAGCGATTACAAATGGAGCAAGCATACGAAGAGCTAGCTTGGATTATGGTGTTCCACGTACCACACTTCACGATCGAATATATGGTGGAGTTTCGCATCAAAAAGGCGCCCAAATACTTCAAAAGTTATCTCCAATTCAGGAGAATCGACTAGCAGAATGGATATTAGTACAGGAAGCTCTTGGTACTAGCCCTACACATCGTCAAATCAGAGAGATGGCAGAGCACCTCCTTATTGTACGAGGGGAGGATCCCTCACTTGGAAAGAAATGGATACATAGCTTTTTTCGAAGGCATCCTAATATTGGAACTAAGAAGCAACATCAAATCGATTCTGCACGAGTTTCAGGTGCTACATCTGATATTATTAAGAAGTGGTTCCGGAACCTCGCAATCCCTGAAATCAAGGCTATTAAGCCGGCCAACAGATGGAATATGGATGAAGC